TTGAATCATAAAAAACTGAAAAAATGCATTCAAAGAAAAAGAAGGCAAATTCCCCATATAAAGGAGGCCGACCCTCACTTGGGCAAGGACGAGCCTCGATGAAGGCACTCCTCGCCAAATCTGGCGAGGTCGGCCCTCACCTAAGCCACGGCGGCCTCGCCAGATCTACCGAGGGAAGCCCTCGCTTGGCCAGTAGACGGCGACCCTTGCCTAAGCGAGGCTAGCCTGCTCAACCATGACCGGTGGCCGGTTACTGACAAAAGGAGGAAGAAAGATAAAATAAAAAAAGAAAAAAATCATAAAAAATCGAAAAAATATTAAAATATTGTTAAAAATTATTCGCGTTAGTGCCTACGGTGCCACATAGGCCAGTTGACGTCCACGTCGACAATATCCCAACAAAATTAGTCGGAACGAAGGACTGAATTGGCATTATGTCAAAATGTTTAAAACTAAATTGGCACCAAAAATTAGTTTATGACTAAATTAGTACAAATTAAATAGATTTAGGACTTTTCTAACACTTTTCCCAAAAAACTTATATTATACCGAAAGACAGTTGTCAGTACAAATTTTGCTTAAGCATGCTACTAATTGCGTGACACGAGACTATAACACAGCAAACCAATTCCTACGAGCACAGTAGACCTAACAAGATCTCCATTATCTGAAGCAGCTGTTATATTTAAATTGATTTCTCTTCAAGTTGGAGATGACTTGGATGTCAATCCCCATAACATAAGATCTTTGGAACGGCGACTAGCCACCTAATTGAGCATAGTTATCTTCTTTCTTTTATGACTAGCGCTTCAAATCGATTAATGTTTTATCATCTCACTTTCCCTCTTCGTTGCCTGAAATCACAATATCAAACTTCTAACATTTAAAGCTGCATGATGGTCTTACACGACATAAGCGTTAACGTCATCTAATAATATGGATGCGTTTGGTTCAGTATTCCAAATAAGTTTTGAAGGCCTTAAAGTTCCTTAGGCAAATACAAATGGCGTTTGGTAAATTTTTTGGAGAACTTTTACATTTCCAAAGGCCTCCCGAGACAGATCCAGAGGTTGTTTGGGAGCTGGATGGACGCCGGCAACCGTGCCGCCTGAGGGGTCGTGCGACCCCGGCGACCGCCTGCCTTCCTTCGAAGTGCCACGAATTCAAAAGCTAGTTCAGCATATGCGGCAATTCATTCCTGCCGACAAGTGCACTATGGCATATGGTGCACATTTTCTCAGATTCATTTTAAAAGCATAAACCTCACGTGTTCTTCTTCTATGCGTCGCACATTTTCTAAGATTCAAGACCTCATGTTTCATACACGTTTTACACCAGAACGAGGCGGACACAAACCTACTCTCAAACGCATGACTGCCCAATGCGGCAATGCCAATCACAGTATCACACTCCAATGCAAAACCTACCATACTTGGAACAAAAAAACTCATTTGTCTTCGCAACATTTTTCAAAGATATGATCTCCCTCTTGAGGATCCCAATCCAAAGGGTATAATCATTCTTTTAGACGTTTCCCTTTTCGTATCTCGCGGTTCTTCCTCGCTCTTGTGGCTGAATATAAAGTCAAAGGGTACAGACAACTTCCACCGACACTCGTCTCTCAAGAACGAGTCAAACCCGCGGGTGGCGAGAGGCGATGGCCACAGACACGCCACTTCTCGGAGAGGACAGCGACAGGTTTGACAATGGCGTCCGAGGGGAGAATAGAGTGAGCATCTTCAGACAGTTTGGGAGCGAGTCCGGGAAGCTATGGAAGATCGCCGGCCCCGCCATCTTCACCTCTATAACGCAGTTCTCGCTCAACGCGCTTACTCAAACCTTCGTTGGCCAGGTCAGCGAGATCGACCTCGCTGCTGTCTCCGTTGGGATGTCCGTCGTTGGTGGCTTCCGTTTGGCGTCATGGTTGATATCCCTGTCTTTATTCTTTACTGTTGATACGAGGTTTACACTCGAAAAGTGCAACATTTCTTTTCAAGTTGTACTGTGTTCAATATGTGTGTCCATGTTTTGATTACTCAGCATCATTGTGTGAGAATAATGGCTTGTTCGACTCTTCTTTTTTAATGTTTTTAATATGGTTGAATGTAGTTGGGGATGGGGAGTGCTTTGGAGACGCTGTGCGGGCAAGCATTTGGAGCGGGACGGATCAGGATGTTGGGGGTGTATATGCAGAGATCATGGGTCATTTTGCTAACCACTGCTTGCATTCTGGTCCCCGTCTACGTCTTTGCTCCTCCCATTCTGGAGTTCATGGGCGAAACTGCCGAGATCTCCGAAGCTGCCGGTTAGTCTCTTCGTCAACATTCATTTTTTTCCCTCCTCGAATAATTTTCTTTCTCGTCCTGAATCCTACGACAAAGAGATATCCATAGAAACTTCCTTTGAACCTAGGAACTAGAGAAGAGTCGTCACGAGTCATGGAGATTTTGCAATTCGTGGCGTTGAATCATATATAGTATGTAGATAATCTTCACTAAAACGGGCGACAGGCCTGTTGGACCTTAGTTAAACTATGGCTGTACTCAGCGCTCTCTTGTATGTGCATCAAGAAGTTGCAGTTGGAGTTCAGCATTACACTACTTAATTTTTTTTTATAAAATTCGTCCTTATTTATTAATCGGATGTCCTTGCCACGGTGCAGGTCGGTTCGCGTTGTTGATGCTCCCGCAACTGTTCGCTTATGCTCTCAATTTCCCAATACAAAAGTTTCTGCAAGCACAAAGAAAGGTTTTGGTGATGGCTTGGATCTCGGCGATTGTCCTGGTGCTACACGTGATATATAGCTGGCTGGTGATTTTGAAACTTGGTGGCGGCCTAGTCGGAGCGGCAATCACTCTCAACACATCGTGGTGGCTCATCATCGTCGCCCAGCTGCTGTACATTTTCATCACCAAGTCGGACGGCGCTTGGAGCGGGTTCTCCTGGCTCACGTTTGAGGACTTGTGGGGATTCGTGAAGTTTTCTTTGGCTTCTGCTGTGATGCTATGGTACGCGGATTCCTACATATGCTCGTCAATGGATGTCCGATTGTGTCAAAAGTGTGGAATTGATGGTGTTCAATATTGATTGCAGCCTGGAGGTGTGGTACTTCATGGTGTTGTTGGTGATCGCGGGACGTCTGCTGAACCCTCTGATACCTGTTGATGCCCTCTCTATATGGTAGGTCAACATTTTCTCCTTTTTGGTAATACTTTCAGCAGTACATTCTATCTGGACGAATTGGGATATAAGTAGAATTCGATGTGAACAGCATGAACATAAACGGATGGGACTTCATGATCGCAGTTGGGTTCAATGCTGCGATAAGGTGAGGTTCATACTTCCTTCCCTCTGTCCCCCGAATAAGATTTCAGCTAATTTGTTTTCTTGATCATTGAGTACCAAGTACTTGCGCAAGCAATGTAATAGTTCATCGTTACTGGAAAACATATTTCATTAGAATTCCATGATTTTCTTCGCCAGTGTGAGAGTATCGAATGAGCTTGGAGCCGGCAATGCTCAAGCTGCAAAATTTGCAGTGATGGTTGTTTCAGTCACATCAGTGACTATAGGAGTTATTGCCATGGCCGTTGTGTTTGCCACTAGAGATTACTTTCCTTATCTCTTCACAAGCAGCGAGGCTGTCACCGCTGAAACGACAAAGCTCGCCTTCTTACTGGGATTCACAGTACTCCTAAACAGTCTCCAACCTGTCTTATCAGGTAAGCACAAGCACACGAGAACATCAAACATCGATTTTCAACCTTTTTTACAATAATAGGGCAAAGCAAGTGTGAACATTCAATCATCGGATTGAGGGAAAATTAGAGGCTCAAAATTGTCATTTTTAAAAGAAAATGTCCATCCAGATCAAATGTGCATAATGCACATGCTTCATATTTATTCTGAATGACATTTTTTAAATTTCTCGTACTTCTTCTTTTGGGCTGTTAAGGTGTTGCTATTGGCGCCGGATGGCAATCCCTCGTTGCATACATCAATATTGGATGCTATTATATCATTGGATTGCCAGCCGGCATCCTCCTTGGCTTCACATTCGGTTTTGGGGCGATGGTGCGTGATTGATCAATTAAATTGGACTATTAGGATGTGATGGAACAAAATCAGCTTTCATGTCATCTGAGATATTACAAAGCAAGACACCTAAGAACCACTTTTTCGGTGACCAGAGACAATTACCACATTTTTACAGGGCAGCCAGTGTCCGAGATCTGAGTTACGAAGTTTCTGTTTTGTGATTTTAATTCAAGAAGACGAAAATGTTCGGGCTTTGGTCTGTGGCCAGTAACATGACAGCTCCTCAAGGATAGCAAGAAGAGAGTCGAATGAAATCTTACTCTCATTTCAACTCATCCCATCTTGATTGTTTCCCGCAAAACCCGCATTCACCTTTGCGATTGCAGGGGATTTGGTCCGGAATGATTGGAGGCACCTGTCTACAAACCATCATCCTAGTGATTATCACTTCCATAACCAACTGGAACCGAGAAGTAAGTTTCCTTCCCTTTCGACAAAAGCATTAAGCATCATTAATTCATCCGTATGTTGCCTTCGATCTCTGCTGTTTGTACCACGAGTTTCTTCTACAAGCTTTACCAATCCACGATTATATTGCATCGGAGATCAATGCTTCATGGGATTTCAGGCTGAGGAAGCAGAGAGTCGTGTAAGGAAATGGGGAGGATCAGCTGCGGAGCATTGATATATCGGAGCCATCATCAGAAGCTTGTGATCCCAATGCCTTGGAAGCTGCTTCGCGGTCGCCAAAGTACCATGATACTCAGTTTTTGCTAATACAATTCAGAGTCGTTTCTCTCAAAAGATGCCCGATCAAGTCGGCCCTGCTCCAGCAACAACAGTGCATCTTCGGTATTTAAACATGCTCAATGATTAATTTAGTTGTTTTGCGGTGGTTTGAATATACATCACAATGTTCACCCTGAGGCTCGAGCCAGATGGTTCAAACACCCGACTGGTCAGTTTGGAGGACTGATGGTCTATTGTCTTTTTTTTCTTTTTTTTTTGGGTTGAGATGATAAACAAGTAGTCTTTGATCACATCTTAGACCGGGCGATAAACTTAAATTTACTGGTTTTTGATTGAATTTTGTTCTTCAGTCTTTTATCTTTGGGAGTTGATTATTACCTAGTCCTAATCCTCTCACAGGTTGGAATCTTGCCAAACTTGACAAGTGGTGATCTGCCACAAGCTGATGATTTTCTGAAATTGGATAAGCTATTGTTTCTCGAGGCAGTTATCGGTTTGAATGAAATTTGTTCAACGGTCCCATACTTTTCCGATTAATGCGAAAATCGATTCTCATTCCTTTGGAGGTCAGTGTTTAGTTGATGTATGATCTGAGATGGTTCTTTCTTTGCAAGGTGCACGCGCCCCAACAGATCACTATCCAATCCAGATCTGCTTCATCTTAGCCGGGGTCTCCGTCCTAGAAATGGTCCGTCCCTCGTGACCTCATCCTTCAGTCTCAGCGTGAGTTTATGATTGTGCACGTGTTTCTCCTTTCAGTTGACAGCCTCTGGGAAGTACTCTTCAGAGGAGACGTCGTTCCCAAAACACCCTCTTGATCCTTCTTCTTTTCTTTTTGTTTCTGAATTGATTATTTAATCCGTATGATTCTGTTTATGCTATGTTATTTTCCGAAGATTACGCCTCACCTTTCTGGGACTCTGCCATGTTGTGTGCATTGTTAGGGTTTGTGCTCCTCTGATCATTGATTGATTCATCATTGATTGATCTTTCTGTTTAGTTGTATTATGAGCAGATTCTGGTATTCATTAGTGGCTTCTTTCTTCTTGGAGCGATCATTTTGTCTGAGGATGTTGTTTGAGGAAAATGAATACAATGCAACTGGTCAGTTGGTTACATAGAATAGGACGTTTGGGCTTTTTGGAGGACTAATGATCTATCTATCTTGCACTCTTTGGTTGAGCTGATGATCTAGAAGTCTTTGTCTTCAGGACAAGCAATGGACCGAAATTTTGACAACCTTCTAGGCTTCTTTTACAGGTTGGAATTCTTATTGGATTTGACAGCTGGTGATCTGTTGTGTTTTCTGTGGGGCTGAGTTTATAATCGTTTGAAATTGGATGAGCTTCTGCTTCTTGGAATTTATGCAGTTATTGGTTTGAATGAAACTTGTTCTTTAGTTCTTGGAAATCATGCAACTAGTTTATGCAGGATATATTTGTCATGGTGCTTATAGTAGACTCTTGGCAAATCTAACTTTAGTTGGCACTTATGACTTTCGATTTTATTTCTTTTGTTGACTGATTTTGGATGGTCTTCTGAATATTGTAAGATGGTAGCCAATACCAGTTATTCTTTGGCAGATTACAGCCTTTCTCCACATGATTGGATGGAAAACTTTTGATTTGTATGTCTTACCTTTTTCTTTGATGGAACTACCCTGCATGTTATTTATCACTGACTTGTTCTTTTCAACATAATTTGTTGCACATTCACTGGGCAATACATTTCTTGCATATGCATTTGTTTTGACTTGGTGTGTATGTCTGCTTGAATTTCATGTCAATATGTTAAAGTTGGTTTATTTGAAGAATTTTTTGTCAGATTTCTTTTGTGCTTATATTAGATGAGATTGATGTTGTTTAGATGGTAATTTCTTAGGGTGAGATGTTATTTTGGTGTGACCTATTTGTCCCTTTTTTCTCTATGTTATTAGGAACTTGTAGGATAGGTTCTTTTCCAAAGTAATTATTTGTTTTTCACACCGTTTTTTGCAGTAACATTACCTTTTGGAAAAACTTCACCAAATGTATAGTATGTAGTGTTTTCACTTATAAAGCGATGTTGTTGGATGGTACATCAATAGATTGTTCTTTGCATTAAATTGTTAACAAGATGATTCTGGATTTCGGTGGATTGGCAGTTGCATCTTTCTTCTTGGAGCAATCTCTTCATCTGAGCGTGTCGTCTAAGGATGCTAAATACATAGAAGCTTGTCAGTTAACATAGAATAAGGTGGCTTGGGTTTCTTGGTGGAGTGGTGATCTATTATGCTGTCTTTGTTTGCTTGAGTTCTGAAGTAGTCTTTGATCACATCTTCAGGACGGGCGATAGACTGAAATTTTGAAGATTTCGAGGAATTTTTAGTTTTGATTTAAGTTGGTCTTCAGTTGATTATCTTTGGGGAGTAGTGTGATAATTATTGTTGAGTTCTAGTTCCTCTTCAGGTTGAAGTTTTCCCGGGTTTGAGAAGTGGAGATATATTGCGTTCTTCTGTGGGGCTGAGTTGATGATTGTTTGAAATTGGACAAGCAGCGGCTTCGTGGATTCTAGGCTGTTGAAACTCTTTAGGGCTACGAATTATAAATCTACAATTGCGGCATGATCCTTTGCCAATGATGATCTGTCATCCAGATACTCTAATTCATGGTTCTAGTGTATCTCTTTCTCATCTGCTCCACAAGGGTTGTTCGGAGTCATCCTCCTTCTAATTGGAGATATTAAATGATGATCGGTTTCATTTGCTTTGGTATTTACTTTGAAGGAATTAATTTTGAAGAATCTGGCTAGGTCGATATTAATGCAATTGTCGCACTGTAGGTAGTGTCTTCAGTTAAACCGATGCTAATGCCTTTGGTTGACATGGTGTCCTAGCTTGTTCCAGGACCCAAGGACTTCGACTAGAAATGCCTTCAGTTAAAACCTATGTTTTAAATCAAGATTCTTTTACTTCCTCCAGATCTCATTTTTTGTATGTTATCACACCTCATCGGTGGTGTCTCTTGTTAATAGAATGTGGACCCAGTAATGTGCTCTATCAGTATCACACTTAAAACTCTTACCTGGACAGCTGTTCACTCTGAAAGTTGGGTGGCTACCTTGTTGGATGAATTTGAAGAGAAGTGGACCGTGTCTTATTTCTCATTAGTCTTTAATATTGTTCATTTTGGCCCGTTGATATGCACTTTATGTGCTCTTTTCTGCTGGTACAAATTCTTCACTGGGAATATTAAATTAGCAACTGGACATATTATACTGGGGTGGATTTCCTGAACCACTCAGGCCTTAAGGACGCACATTAGTGATTGCCCCTCTCTGTACTTCTTTTTTTTTTTTTCAATTTTAGTGTGCTCTTTTTCGATTTCTTCTTTGAAAATTGGATTGACCTATATAGAACTTTTGCAGGTGTCGAACCAACTTTTGGGATCCCGTCCATATTGGATGGACTGGTAGTATCATTTTCTGACATTTGCTTTTAATGGATTAGAAGAGGTCGACACTTGTTTAATTGGGTGGTTAGATGTTTGGCAGAGTCCCTTTTGTCTCGTTGATGATTTTTTTATCAGGACTCTCAAGTTGATTACAATTTTGCAGCCATTGAAATGGTGGGGTTGCACTTGCTTTTATGCACGCCTGAATGGAACACAGTGTCTGTCCTTTTTCTGCACTTCTCCTCCAACGTCTAACTAGATGGTTAATGGACCCCATATCGTGAATTATTGATCCATTAGAAGCAACGTTGAAGAGATGTCTAATGTGCTCCTTTCCATCCGTGGATGTAGGTCAAGCTGGCAAACCACGTAAATTTCCAGGTGCATCTTTTGGCGATTTATTTATTTTTTATCCGTGTCGATAGTTTAGGTTTTAGATGAAATGACAAATAAAAAAAAAATAATAATAACGAGACCTTAGTCACAACCGTTAAACATGGTATCTATGTATATTGCTAAATGCTTGAAAATCTTCTCACAATTTGACAATTCAAGATCACTGCTCGGTGAAATCCCAAATGCTCATATGGACTTTGCTTGTAAATAATTCTTTGGTGGTGAAGGAGATGAATGAATTGGGAAGAGTCGAATTATTTTAGTTGTATTGTAAATGGATCTTTATCTTAATTTCGGATCAGTATTTCTATTATAATATCAAGGATAACAAGCTTCCATGTGCTATCTCATCTGCAATTGAAAATGTTATGTGTAGAATCCCAACAGATTTAACCCTAAAAGAAAGAAAGCTTTATTGTGCAAGGGGAGGATACTTAAAATCTAACATATATAGAAAGAGAATATTTATCAGGCTTCATATTGGCCATTTTTATTTATTAAAAATATTTTCGAAATTTTTTGTATGAAAGAAGAATGAAAAATCTGGGCCTTCTCGAAAATGGTTTTAATTGCAATGCTCACATCACAATTTTTAAAATTGCAGTATTTTCAGATTTTAAATAGTTATCAGATAAAAAAAAAGCAGTCCTTGGGATATTAATAAAGAGTACAACGATTAGCACCTCGGAAAATCAAACACCATATTTCAAACATCTAAAGAAAAAAAAGCATAACTTCAACATTCAAGATACTTTTAACACAACCTTCCAAACTTTTTTAAAGAACGTACAATGTTCTACCATTGAAATAAATCGTGATGAATTGTTCTTAAAAATCCTGAGTGGCAGCCAATAGGCAATTTGTGATATGTGTGGTTGCCATGTCATTTCGTGTAAGTACATAAAATTATTGAATCCTTTGATAAAAAAAAAATTTAATGACAATTGCCTGATCTAGATTTGAACTTAAGTGAAAAAGGTACTTCTTTCATTCGCGCTGCTGATTGTTGGTACCAAATTGTCAATGCTAGCATTCGGAATCGTAACAGAGGGGACTAGCATTCGGAATCGTAACAGAGGGGAGTTGCGCTAAGTTTCAAACAATAGCTTTTATTTTTTACTTTTGATTTGGATAAATTTTGCAAAACCAACATTTTTTACTTTTGTCTAGCCCAAAATACTTAAAAACTTTCAAGTGGAATCTTACATGATTTTTTTTTTCACAAGTTAATGCAATCAAAAATTCCTATACAATTGCACGAGAATCCAAATTATCCCATTATATATATTTTTAAAATCGATTCTATATTTGGTAAAAATGCCCATGTTATTTCGATTAAAAAATTTTCTCTTATTGACCTATTTTTACTAACATGGACCGTCGGATTGCCGACATGGACGATAAAGTGCAACTATCCTGTAATGACCAAGTCGATGGGAGCATGTTAAAATGTCTCCACGAGTGGCACTTTTAAATATTAGATGACGATTTTCAACTAAAAGAAAGTATGACCATCACAACGGTCAAAAGAGAAAAATCGTCAAGCCCAACGGTCGGAACTTTGCCAAATTCCAACGGTCGACCATCACAACGGTCGGCCTGCCAAACACAACTGTTTGTTGACTTAAAACTTTGACCGTTGGAATTTGGCAAACCGACCGTTGCACTCGACCATCACATCTGTTTGTTGACGATTTGACCGTTGCTGCCAAATTCCGACCGTTGCATGTCAAGCGCAACGGTCGGAATTTGGCAAGCCGACCGACTTTCCCAATTTAAACCGTCGACAAACAGATCACGAGACGGACCATCCATCCGATCAACGACCCTGCTACTGCTTCGCGTCCCAATCCTAATTTCCAAACCTGACTCTCTGCTTCGGATGACCGTTGTCGGTCCCCGAGGTCGGGGTGTCTCCACCCTATAAATACCCGTCGTCTCCTCTCCTCTCCTCTCGTTCTTTGTATCCTTCTGGTTCTGCTCGCGTTTTTCTTCTTTTCTCTCTCGCCCACAGCGTCTCTGCGAGAAAAAGAAGGAAGTAGCGGTCGCGATTTAAGCGTTCTTCATGGGGTCCCCTTCTTCTTCTTCTTCTTCTTCTTTTTTCCTTCTTGTTTCCGTTTCTTGATCTTGGGCCGATTGCTTTTTCTCGATCTTGATTTTTGAAGACGTCTTGTTGCAGAAACCCCCCGCCCTTGCTTACGAGCTTGGCCTCTTTGGGAGAGGACGATGTATCGGAATTATTTGGTCTTCGATCGATCTACCGTTATTGGTTTCACCAGCATATTCTGGATTTTTGTTCTTCGGCGAATCCGCAGTGCCTTCTTTCCTCTCGGATCATATATCTTGACGGTTGAGGATGGTCGTTATGGGAGTTGTTTCGTTTAGCTCCTCCTCCGATCCTCTTTATTGATCCATCGACCGATGGATGTTTCCGTTTACTTGTTTACGAGCTGCTTCTGGGTTTTTGTTATTTGGTGAATTCGCAGTGGCCTTCTTTTTCCCCCTGGAGCGAATGGACGGTGACACTGGTCAGTTCGTTTCGTGATCCCTTTTGCCCTTCTTTTTTTTGGGTTGAGATGATGAAATTAGTAGTCTTTTGATCACATCTTTGACTGGGCGACAGACTGAGATTTTCTGGGTTTAGATTGGAATTTGTTCTTCGGTCTTTTTTATCTTTGGGAGTTGATTAGCGTCCAGGCCTAATTCTCTCACGGGTTGGAGTTGGTTGTCGGTTTGAATGATATTTGTTATATCCAGTCTCATAATTTTCCGGTTAATGCGAAAACCGATTTTCATCTCTTCAGAGGTCAGTGGTTGGCCAATGTATGATCTGTGATAGTTCTTTCTTTGGGACGACGATGTCTCAGAATTATTTGGTTTACGCCTCGTCCTTTGATCGGCTTAGTGATCCATCGAACTTTGCGTCATTGTTTTGCCAGCTTATTCTGGATTCTTGTTATTATTCTGTGTAATCGGCAGTGGCGTCTTTCCTCTTGGATCGCATCTCTTTCATCTGAGGATGTCGTTATGGGAAGTGTTTGGTTTATAGCTCCTCCTCTGATTAGTTATTGATCTGTCGACCGATCGAATCTTTCCGTTTTACTTGTTTAAGAGCTGCTTCGGGATTTTGTTATTTGGTGAATTCGCAGTGTCTTTCCCCTTTGGAGCGAAACTTTTTGTCTGAGGCCTGTCAACGAGGATGAACAGTAAAACGAAGATGTTTGGGCTTTCTGAAGGACTGATGATCCGTTTTGGCGTTATATTTGATCACAAGTTTTTGCCTGAGCCGATGATTGTCTGAATTGATTAAGCTTTATCGGGTTTGGTCGATGTATGATCTGTGACGGTAAGAGCAAGGTGTACGCTATCCAATCCAGATCCGCTCCGTCTCTTCCTAGAAATAGCCCCCTCCCTCGTGTCTTCATCCTTCAGTCTCATTGTGCGTTTCTGATTGTGCGTGCGTTCCTCTCTCAGTTGACACAGCTCCTCTTCAGAGGATAACATCGTTACCCAAACGCGCTCTTGATCCTTCTCCTTTTCTTTTTGTTTCTTGATTGATTATTAGATCGGTCTGATTCTGCCTCTCCGGGACTCTGCCATGTTGTGGACATCGTTTGGGTTTGCGCTCATCACCTATTGATCTTTCCAAGTATATTACGAGCTGATTCTGGTATTCACTATTTCCATGGATTGGCAGTGGCTTCTTTCTTCTTGGAGCGATCATTTTGTCCGAGTACAATGAATACAAAGCACCTGGTCAGTTGGTTACATAGATTAAGACATCTGGGCTTGTCTTCGTTGTTAGTACAAACGATGGACTGAAATTTTGACAACCTTCTGGTCTTCTTTTACAGGTTGGAAGTCATATTGGATTTGACAGCTGGTGATCTGTTGTGTTTTTTGTGGGGCTGAGTTTATAATTGTTTGAGATTGGATGAGATCCTGCTTGTGGGAACTTAGGCAGTTACTGGTTTGAAAGAAAGTTAGTTCTGTTATTTTCTAGTTAATCTGGAAGATCAGATCTAGTTCTCTTCCCTGCGCAGATCAAAGTTTGGTTGAGGCGATACTTTACGTGTCCAAGTTCGATATGGAGTGTCTGGGATCAGTGATGTTCTTTCTTGCTGCATAAGAATCTGGCTTGTTGCAGAAGCTTATTTTCATCTGTTTCGCGTTGCCTCTTTAGGACTTTGCCATGATCGTGGACATATTAGGGTTTTCTCTCCTGCTTTGACCATGATTGGTCGGTGGACGTTCTATTTAGTTGTTTTACAAGCAGATTCTGGATCTGTTATCTAGTGGATTGGAAGTAACCTTTTCTCTGATGGACCGATTTCTACTTCCGAGGATATCATGTAAAGAACAGTTAAAGTATGATGAGTTTGGTCAATTGCTTTTATAGAATAAAGCATCTGAGCTTTTTTTATAGCTGACTATTCCTTTACAGTAAGTGTGACATTCTGAATTTCGACCCATTTTTGGGATTTATAAAACATGTAATTCGTCAGTGTGCTTATAGTAAAATCTCGCCCGGGAACTGATCACTCCCGGTTATCGTTTTTAAAATTGAGGTTTCGCTAGAATCGCATTCGATCGAATTTGGCCGTTATTTAGAGCCCAAACTTTGGTGTCGAATTTCTCGAAATTCCGGAACGAATTTAATTGGACGGTATCGATATTAGTGTGGCCAATCTCGATATTACCCGGGATACGTGAAAAGTGAATTTTTGACCGGGTGCGAATTTGGATTGGTAGACCACCCTCGCAGTGTGTTTTTATTAACACCCTTTTGGCCAAATCCTAAAAATATTAATTAGGATTTTTCGGGGACCGTCGGATCGTTTTTGGATTTGAATCGTGGCCGTCGGATCGCACTTGAGTACGATTTGACCATTCTCTCTCTCCTCCCCTCTTTTCCCGCCGGCTTCCCCCCCATGCGCCTGACACTCCCCACCAACACATCATTTCCTCTCTTTTTCCTTTTCTTCTCTTTTCCTCCTCGCCGTTGCTTCTTCTTCATTCCTTTCGCGTCCGCTTCTGGCTTCTTGTTCTTGCTTCTGTTCACGCCGATCGCTCCTCGCCAGAACCGGCCGCTCGTCGCGCCACCGTGGCTCCGCCCTAGTCGAGCTGCGCTGCCGCTGTCACCCGAAAACCGCTCATCGTCGGACCACCGAGCCACGCTCGGGTCGTGTCCTCGCCGGTCCGCCCGCTTTTCTTCCTCCACCGCCGAGCGCCGCTCCTCCCCGCCGTGAACCACCGCCGTCCCGGACGTTCGCCGGACCGAGCTCGCCCTACCCAGCTCCGTTCGCTGCCGGGACCGACTCCACCGTCCACCCCCGACCGTCGTCACGCCGTTCGTCACCCCGACTGAGCCGTGTCCGCCTTGTCCAGCCGCCGCGGTCAAGCTCCTCTCACCTCCGTCGCCCGCCACTGCCGTCCAGCTGAGCTTCGCCGTGCGTCGCCGTCCACCTCCGACCGTCGCCGCTGCTGTCCCAGTCGTTGGGAACAGCCAAGCCACGTCGGAGCAGCCCCCACAGCAGCCGCGCTCGTTCGTCGCCCGTCCGTCACTCGCCGGGCCGAGCTGGAAATCACCGTGGACCGCCCTCGTCGCTGCCGTCGTCCTCGCTTCATCGCCGGCGTTAGCCGAGTAAGTTAACCCCTAATCTCGTGTTTAAGGAGTTAAACTTGCTTAGGGTAGTTTAATTTATGTTTAGTTTGTGTTAATTGTGGGTTAGTGGTTAATTAATTGTGTTTAGAGTATAAGTTATTGATTAGTTTATTGTTATTGATTATTATATGAAATGTTATTATTTTCGGAATTTAAATATTATTTTATTTGTTAATAAATTAATTCCGAATTAAATATTATTATTTTATTATTAAATAAATTAATTTCCGAAAATTAAATGTTATTATTTTCGAAAAATTTCTAGCGTCAAATTGAGATACCAATGTTGGTTTTCGCCGTATAAGTTGGCGTATTTAGGAAATGATTTGAATGATTTCAATTCGAGGAAATATTTTGACATTTTGGAAAATTAAATTATTTTCGGATATTATTAATTAATTAATTCCGAATTCAATTTATTGTTATTTCGGAAAATTTATAATTTCAAATTATGATTTCTAGCTTGAATGTTGGCGATTTTGCCGCGTATTGTCGTATTAAATTGATTTTATGGCAAATTGTTTGATCGAAAGTTTCTGTGGAAAATTTATGAGACTTTTGGAATTAAATTATTTTATTCTGTTATACCAAGTAATGTTAGTGATACTTTGTGGTTGATATTCGTGTTTGATATCGAAGATTGCAAGAATTGATTGACTGTTTGCATGTGTGGCCACTTGGTATTATTGTATGACATCGAGGAGAGCACGATTCATGTATGCATGGGCTAATTGAGAAGATAATAATTGGCCTAAATGCTTGTGTGCTCGTGTGGTCACACGTTGGAACCGTCTTGCTGTGTATTGCTTGACGATGCCCGATTTATCGGATGCCGGGGATTATCCGGAGTGCCGATACCCGGATGCCTTGTCGCGGCCCGAGGCGGACTCGATGCTCACTACGGGATACCATCTTACGTAGATCGTTTGATGTTGCCGTATTGGAATGCCGTCTTCTTGTAGATCGTTTGACGTAGCCGTGCCGACGGGGCGGGACGGAGCCGGTTTTGCCGGTAGACCGCCATCTTCTTTGCGTATCGCTTGATGTGTGGTGGCCCCGAGGGGCGTAATAAGCTGGAATACGTGTGATGCATAGTGCCCGATTATGTGGTAGAAACTGCTAGGCATGGTATGGGACGTGCTCAAGTGGATTCTATCTTATAATCGGGACACGCCCGCTTGTGATGCATTGGTGCATGAGTAATTGATCTAAATGCTTCGAGTATGTGACATATGCATTTCATCAACATGTGTACCAAGGCGAGGTGAGGATGCCTGTGGTTGTTAATGATGTTGTTGCTGTTTCGCCTGTTTAGGGACCCTCGTGCGAGTTGGCCTCCTAAGCGGGGCTTAGGCCGTTAACTTATTGAGATTTTATCTCATTTGTTGTTGTTAAACCTTTTTCAGGACCTTAGCTTGTCGTTGCTTCCTATGCGGTTTGGAGTACCGCAGTTTTTGGTTGGTCCTTGAGGGTTAGGCCTGGAAGCCGATCTTGTTGATGGAGTAGATTAACCCTAGCCTTTACTCTTTTTGCTGGCTTTTGTGGTAGCGCCCGATGTGGGCTTGTAAAAATGTTCCCAGGGGTTAATCAAGTGAAAATCAAAATAGTGTGGTTTGACTGTTGTGAATTGTTTTCCTAACTATCCCTGTTTATTGTTGTTGTCCGGGGATTGTTGTGATCGTTTCCGCATGCGTAATTAAAAGATAAAAAGAAAAGGGTCGGCGACGAGTCCTGGGTCGTCGCATCATAACGACCATAGCGGGGTTCGGGGCGTGACAGTAAGTATGTTCGGTTGGTGGACTGATAATTTCCTGCATGGACACTTATGTTTCTTTTTAATATTCATTCTTTTATTAATTATCTTTGGGGGTAGTGGCAAGAATCGATATGATAATCTCCTAGTTTTAATTGCTTTAGGTTGAAGGTTTGCTGAATTTGAGAAGTTCTGATCCACTGCCTTTTCTGCAAGGCTGAGAGGATGAATTGTGGTGACCAGGTTTTGTGGTGACCATTCAGTTCTCTTTCTTTTGTAGGTCAGAAATTGGTTAACTTTATTACCTCTTACTTCAAATATGGAGCGCTCTTTAATCTATGATGGTTCTTCATAGATTGGCGACTTTTATCTGAGTATTAAGTTG